ACCTTTAACTGAAAACTTTTGAAAGGAAACTTAAGAAAGGGAAAATAAATTGGACAGAAGAGTGCCAAAAGCAATTGAGGAGCGAAAGGAGAAACTGTCTCAAAGGCCTATACTACATGCACCTGATTTCAATAAGGAGTTTATTTTGCAAACTGATGCTTCTAACTCTGGTATGGGTGTCATTTTAGCTCAAAAAGATGAACGAGACAATGAACAACCAGTATTATACCTAAGGAAGAAGTTTACAGAAACTGAAAAAAAGTACTCTACCACAGAAAAGGATTGTGCTGCCATAATATTTGCTGTAAAGAAACTTCAATGTTATTTAGACGAGCATACTAAATTCCTCATCATGACCGATCATAATCCCTTAGTTTGGCTCAAAAATAATGAGAGTCTAAATCCACGACTTATGAGATGGGCACTAGTACTACAACCCTACAATTACATGATCGTTCATCGAAGTGGTAAAAACCATAAAAATGTAGACGCATTAAGTCGTACTCCCTGGCCTGATTAAGTAATTTGTTTCTCTATATAGATAAAAAAAAATATTTTGTTCCTTCCTCTCTTCCTCAGTGTATGTTATTATGTTATATCTTGTATTTCAATCCTGTATTGTGCTGATATTGTTGTTAAAAAAAAGTAAACTATAAAAATATAAATTAAAGTTTATCTGGAGGGGGGAGAGGTTGTAAAATCTTGTTACTTAATAAATAAATATAATAATTGTTGAAGTGACAACGCCATATTTGTATTAAACCGTTACTCAGCAACGTGAGATATTGTTTTAAAAGATTAGAATTCTGAAGATTTTACCAGGAGTAGTATGAAAATTTTGCCATTTAAGAATTGTATAAAATTTGTCTATCACCGTTAACTAGAAATAAAATTTATGTCTACTAAGAAGATTGTCTGTTTGTAAATTACTGCAAAATACATTACAATACTATGAAATTCTATTTTATTTATCATATTCATTTCTGTACATTTTGTGGTAAATATTTAAATCTTTTCTGATTGCATTATTGCTTTTCTGTATAGCTGTAGTGCTGTCCATTGTTTCATTTATTTATTTATTTGTTGCCTTTAGAATGATAATTTTATATAACTGAATTTATGGTCATATGTTTAAGTGCTTTTTTTTTATATATACAGAATTGTAGATTATTCAGTTACGAGTGCAATAACATTTTTAATGTAAAAATAGCTCAAGCAGAACACAAAACACAGGCAAATTCATTCCTGATAGGTCTTGACAACAATTTTCTCATTAAGTTGGTGATAGTAATAATTTCTTGCCAACTTGGTGACTTTCTAGAAGATTCAGAAAAGCACATTTTCAAAGTTTTATGAACAATTCTTCCCGAAGCTTTTAGAAACCACTGCTATCATATATAAATACAAGTCCAAATGCTAGAGTGTCAGTTCTTATACAGCTATGAGATTTAGCAATAGAAGAATTGCAATTTAGAGTTTACTCTGTCTGATTTAAGAGGAATTGGTTAATATCTGCATTCTGCTTGAACTATTTCCAGCTATTTATTATACTATGTGTCTTGAATTTTTATAATAAACTGGTAATCTCTTCCTATTTATCGGGAGCGAGCATTTAAGGATATAATATTTAACACATAGTTTGCAATGATATTTAATAAAAAGTTTGAATTTTTCATAGTCTATGATGATGAAAGCTGGATGTTATAAGATGGAAGCAGTCGTGGCCAGATGAACTGTTCCCCCCTTTTTCTCTTGGCAAAAAATTTTTAAAATATACGTAACTAATTGGCACTAAGTTTGTACCCAGTACTCCATAATTATTAGCTTAATTTTTATATATTCATAGAACAGTAAACAGCAATAGAAGAGAAATGGTATAGGACATCTTAGCAGGGCAGAGAAGCATGACAAAAGTGAAGGGATTATACTAGGGGCGAGCAACCTTTTTAATGAACGGGCCAATTTAAATTAAAAAAATTTTTAGCAGGCTGCACATAAAGTAACACTTATTAATAATTTACAAAACTTTATTTATAATAAACATTAGAATAAAAAATATTAAATTTAAAAAAAAAGTAAAGATTTCATATACAATTTTTAATGCAAAATAAAAACAAACAAGAGAAGAACAAAAAAATGAATTTACTTGAAACTTTGAATGAAAAATTTGGCACTGTTTTTTTCGATACAAGCTGATCAATATCAGCCAGAATTGATGAGGTAGCTACATGTACACAGCTTTCTAATTCTAATCGTGCATCACTCAGTCTTGATCGGTGGTCATTTTTGATTAATTTCATGGTTAAAAATAATTGTTTGCAAACATACGTACTTCGAACAGAGACATCATTTGCTTTGCATTTCTCATCGAAAGAGGAAATTTCTCAGGGTTCACATAAGATTTATAAAAATTTTCGATGTTTACTGAGCAAAATACATGTTTTAAATCAGTATTATTCTGCATGTCAATCACTTCCATTTGAAAGTCTTCGACAACTGTATCCACATTGATATTAAATGGCAAGGAAAATATTTTCATGGAAACCGCTGTCTTCTCAGCTCTGAACATTTGGAATCGTAATTGAAATTCGTTGATTAAAATGTCTATATATTGTGTAAATTTTTTAGAAGTAGTAACGTTTTCTTTTTCTAAATGTGGAAAGTGAGACACATTGTTCTGCAAAAGATGCTGTTTCCACAATTTTAATTTGCGCTCAAAGCCCTGAACTTTATCATACAAATTGTGAGTAAACAGTCCTTTGCCTTGAAGTTCCACATTAAGATCATTGAGATGCTGAGTCTTGTCGATAAGAAACCCAAAATCATACATCCATTCTTTATTACCAAAATGAGGAAAGGGATATCCCTCCATATCCAAGAACAATTGTATTTCGCTTTTTAAGTTGTATACTCTTTTTTAGCATTGCACCTCTACTAAGCCAATATACTTCGGTATTAAAAACCATGTCGTCATATTCAGTTTCTAAATCTTTCAGGAATTCTTTAAATTCATGGTGATTAAACACGCACGACTTTATAAAATTGATTAGTTTAAGTATTGGTAGTGTAACATTTGGCAAACTCAATCTTTTCGCACACAAATTTTCTTCGTGAATTATGCAGTGATTAACGAATATTTCCCTTCCTGTGACCTTCTTAATGTCTTGAAATAGCCTTCCCGATACTCCTACCTCCATGCTTGACATTGCTCATGCTTCATCTGTCGATATACCAATAATCTTTTCTAATGAAATTGAAAAATTTTCCAACACAGACTTTTAGTTCATCCTACAGGTCTTTACGCTTGTAGTCCCTTTCATTGGAATTAGTGAACACAATTCTTCGATAATATTAAATTTGGTGTCAATACCATGTAAAAATATAGCCAGTTGTGCTGTATTGCTAATATCGCAACTCTCATCAAGTGCCAAAGAACAGTATTCGAACTTTGCAATGCGTTCATGAAGCGTTGTTGCTATGTTCTCGGACAAGTCTTCATTTCTCCTTGCAATGGTGAATCTTTATAAACTAATGTTTGAAATAATATTTATTTTATCAGGAAATGCTACTTCTGCAATAGTCAGACATTCTTTTATGATCTCTTCATCCGCAAAGGGTTTCATTTTTTTTTTTTTTTTTTTTTTTTTTTGGCCAGTATTTGACTGACAACAAAACTAGCCTTTACTGCCGTATTTGATAAAATAGTTTGATTTTTAAAAATAGTGTTTGTATTGTTTTCCCAAGTTTTTCTCCATTTGATTAAACTTATCTCTATCCTGAGTTGTTCTTTTAAGGTTTTATATTGTTGCTCCTGTTTTGTATCGTAATGACTTTTTATGTTATATTCTTTTAATGTCGACACAGTCTCTGAGCATATTATGCATACAGCTTTATCTTTGACGAAAGTAAAAAAATAACCAAATTTCCACTTTTTTTCGAAATGCCTGTGCTCATCCGCAACCTTCCGTTTTTTTGTTTGATTTTCCGACATGCTATTATGGATTAAAATTGTGAAAATAAAAAAAAAAATTGTAGGAAAAATTAATTTTGAATAAAAAATCTCTAATATTACCTTTGTTACCGCTGCAATGTTTTTGTTGTTTGCAATGTTCAAAAAGCAAGAATCTACTTTCGCATTACAACATCTTTATTTCTTCTCTCTAAAGCCCGACTTCTACTTTTTAAGAACGTAACTACTCTGTTTACATATGCGATGGAGAATTCCTGGCTAGAAGTGAAAGTAATAGTAGTTATTAGCGCTTTCGTTTTCCATCAATAGGTGTCACTACCTGAAAATGGCTTGGCAGCAGCTATGCAGCCTACACCTTTTTGACATTAATATTGCACTCACGCCTTTCAAGAAACACAAGAATTGCTCAAATTGCTAGTTAACAGCTTACCAGTCTGACTGATTGTGTGACAGAAGCAAACACAAACAAGCACAGATGCGGCGCGTTCATATTGCAAGTCGCCGACAAGTGAGTAACTCGTCACAAAAAATTGTTTTGGTTTAGTATGTACTACCATTTTATTATTTTTATAACAATATATTGATGGGAGAAAGTTGATAAAATAAATTCAATTTTAGAAATGCTTGGCGGGCCGCATAAAAATGTTTAATGGGCCGCAAGCAGCCCGCGTGTTGCTCACCTCTGGATTATACTATTGATGTTAGAATAAGAACAGTACAGTTATGGTTCCATTCTACTTCTACTGTTGGTTAAAAGATTTGGTTTGCAACTTTTCTTTACTGTTGGATTTATGTGAGAGTAGATATTATCGACATTATATGAAAATCATATGATAGGGATTAATTTTGAAATGTGCACCTTGAGAAAGACTTATTATAAGCTATTTTCAGTTCTTTTACTATCGCTAGCTATACCATTCATAATTATAGCTGGCTTTTTCCCCACTTAATTAGAATTACTTAACCTAAATACGTATATCTATCAAAAGTATATTATTAATTATTAGCAAAATGAAAAGCAATATCTTACTGTTATAAGTGATACACGATTCTTCCACTTTTGAATTCTTTTAATCACACTCTCAGCTATACTGTCATTCCCATATATACCAGTCCTCATCTTTATTGTTAAAGGCACATTAATCACAGATGAAACACTATAAATTATACCTTCCAGTTTTTTCATTCTGTTCATAAGACCACAACCAGCACCCTGCAAAAGAATTAACATTTAAATACTAAGCAAAGTAGATTGTTAATCTGAAATAATTTGAAGAGTTGTTAAAATGTTCATGGAGATAACTTTTGACTCCAAGGGCATAATTAATAAAATGTAACATGTTAGAGCTGTTAAAACAAAAATGATCTGATAGCAATATTTAGATAAAAAAAGGCAATAACTTTCAAGTTCTTAAGTACTTTTTAGTAATTTACCTTCAGTTGTGCACAAGCAATTAGTCGCCGCCTACAGAATAATAAGACATACTATATTTTTTGAGAAAAAAGCATTTGCGTATTAATGCATCTTGTGCAAAAAATTAAGAAATGAAGTTGTAATTTGGAGATGGCAATCAACTATGATACAGTTTTCTGCCTTTCTTTACTTGTTATGGCAAAGTAAGTATTCATAAAACAACATGCAATGTTATGAAAATCTTTCGGCCCCCTAACTGAAAAACAGGAACCTTTTTATTTCTGTGTACATGTATTACAAATGTTGCTTTGATATTTAAATAAATGTTTCTATAATCAAAAAATTCCTTTTATTTGTAATTATGGTATTTTTCCTCACTAAAAGTTTTTTATTGTAACTTTAAATTAAATGAGAGAGCTATAGATATATATATTATTTTTTGAATATGTCTACATTTTCTCTATTGATGTTTCAATTATTTTAATTAAGGATTGCATGGTGCACTATCGGCAAAATGAAAAAAAAAAAAAAAAAAAAAAAAAAAAAAAAACCCCGCTTTTGGTGACATTTGCACAAGATAAGAGAAAAGTGCCAGCTTTAAAGTTTTGTAACTAGATGAATGAAATAGTTTTTGCGCCATGAAACATAAATTAACTTTCTAGAGTATTTTACATTGATTTTTGTATACAAATTTGAGGAGACAGAAAGGTCTTACAGATCCTGATATTAATAAAGTTTAATAAACATTACTAATTATAAACTCAGGTATCCATGTTCATTTAATTCATGAGTGAATATCAGATTCACAGATTTATGAAATGCACCAATATATCAGACTAAGAGGAAATTACAGAAGAATGGATATAAAAACAAGAATGTAAGAAGATTACATACTATAGCAGTATATTGTTTTAACATATTTCTTAAGTAATTAAATAAAAATGTATGCCAATTTGATGAGATGCTATATTCTATAAGCAACAAATGCAAGTAATACAGAGTGTGGCAATGAATTGGAGGATTTGAAAAATGTTATCAAGAGTGAATGATTAGCTTTATTTACTTAAAATACACAAGAACATTACAGCATTTAGTTTTCAAACTGAAAAAAAGTCTTTATTTCTGAAAAAAATGGAGTGCCTGGAGATAAAATGCTTTGGAAACAGGTTCCCCACAGAATTTTGTGTGGTGTGACTAATTGCGCCATCTTATTGGAAGAACGCGTCTTCATTCACAGGAAGCCAAACAATTGCAGGAGCTAAGAAGTTCTCCAAAATGTGTACATAGCATTTCCCTGTCACAGTTCCAGCCCTTTCCTTTTATCTTCAAAGAAGTATGGATCATTAATTGCAAAAGAAGATAATGCACACCACATAGCAACTTTCAAGCTGTGCAGTGGTTTTTCATGGATTTCATGCAAGTATGTGTTAAACCAGTAATGGAAATTTCGCTTGTTAACGTATCCTGACGAATAGAAATGGGCTTAATCACTCATCAGTTAATTGTTAAAAAGATTTTGGTTTCCATAGTCCTGCTCATATAGTGCTTGAACAATTTGAATCTTGTATGCGAGGAAATCAATGTAACCATGTAAAAAATCATGTAAGTGATGCCGTTTTTATAAAATGCCTTTACAGCATAAGCAAGCTCCACTCTTGTCCATGCTCCATTGCTACTAAAAATGCTTTAATTTTTTTAATAAGTTGGCAGTAGAATCCTCCCCACTCCAGCCAAACTAAAAAAAGTGGTGCTGCCAAATCATCCGATTCACTGTCGCACCCTGTATTTTCATTCTCCACAGGGTTTACATAGGTAGATCTAAAAGTTTCTGGTCAGATATACTTCTAACAGATCTAGAGAAAATTTTAACTTTTTATTTTTCAATATAATTTCCTTGCACTTTGATACACTCTTCACATCATTTAATGAGAAATTCCATTTTTATAAAAATAATCTGAAAGTTTGTCCTCGGAATGTTCCGTAACTGCTGTTTTCATGCCATCATTAAATCTCTTTCCATGACGAAGACTGGACTTCAGTCTAGACATCAGACAACAATTGCAGCTAAGTCTGAGCTATAAAGGAGGTGGTCAAGATGCTTAAAGCCACATATCTTCACTGCTTCTTTAGCAATGACAAATGAATGCACAAGAACATTAATATAGAATTTTTTTTTTCTTAGCAAAATTGACAACGACATTCCAGAGTTTGTTTCACGCCATTTGCTGTTATTAGACAGATTTTTTTTTTAATTGCAAGATACTCTTTTTTAGCTCTTAGGTGCTCTTGATTGATTTGTATTTAAAAAACTTCCTTTTAAGATAAATAACAATTACAGCTGCTATGAGGAAAAGTTGGAGTAATAGGAGATTGTATTTTAAACTGCAGAATTCAAAGCAATCACCCTTTCATCTGTTTGTTTTATCTTACCAAGTAGTAACAAAAATAAAACTTTTAAATATTTCTCTCTCACTGTGGAATTTTTCCTTATTTATATAACTGCAATCATAATTTAATCGACACTCATATTCTGCATTCAAACATTTTGATGGAGTAAATTCAGCATGGCAAGAACAAAAAGCTATCGAAATCTCACGAGCTCTTTGAATACTCTGTTCGGTATTAAATTAAGGTACTGTTCTGTTATCAGGACCAGATTCAGAAATGTATAAATGTATGCACATGTGTATGTATGTATGTACATATATGTGTAAACGTAGACAAACACATACATTCGTGCTTACATATATGCATACATACATTTTTGGATCCGGTCCTGATAACAGGACAGTACCTAAATTAATTCTCTCCTCAATTCAATTTTGTATGACAGTTCAACATATCACAACTCTTCACCTCATTAGTGACAGAGTGGACAAGACTTCATAATTCTGGTAGTTTGGTCTGGGCTCAAATCTAAAAGAACAGGCTGGTTGCATGACCATTTTTGTGTTTATTCTATATAAACTAAACTAAGTAACACAACAGCTCTAGTGGGACATGGCTTGCAGTGCCCTGATATCTGCTTTCCCTGACTGTTGACCCTTAGTACATGAGCATGCACCCTGGACAAGTGGTTACCTTGTTGCAGGACCTCAGGTGTTTAGTCTCAAGCAAACTTGGTATTAATTTTATCGACCCACTCAAGGGATGAAAGGCTGAGTCAACCTTGCACAGCCCGGGAATCGAGCCCTGTTGGTGCTGTTGTGTGATGTGCTAGCCACTGCACCACCGGGCCTTTTTACCCTATATGCAATGTGAATATGAGCCAATGTCCCTTTTGTAATATAAATAGGAGTCAGTTCCCAATTTCGAAGTCTTCCGAGGAGAACTAATTCTTACAAATCATTCTTTTGCCTTAGGCCGATAACTGTAGTGAGTAATCCAAGGGATCTCAATTTTCCCTCCTGCTTTGAATATCCATATGACTAGCTCTTATAAATGTATCCTTCATATGAAAAGTGCTGTTGGATGTAGACGGCAACATGCCCCTGGCTATGTTACTGCACTGGCTGCCTTTTCTTGGTGGTGCTTTTCTTCACTTCGATTCCATTTTCAGAACAGGATCTTCTTTCATCACCAACTATAGTTGATTGTAAAAAGTTTTTTCTGATTTATACTGTCAAGCTCAACAAATGCACGCACTACTGTTTTGTTGAAAGAAGTTAGAATACCCATTTTGCATATATTGATCATGTAGAATGTATAAAATAGTTATTTAGATAGATCCAATCCTACTGCAATCTTTGACTTCTAATTTTCTATCACTGAATAATTCCTCCTGGGTATGAGCAATATGTTTGGATGCCAGTGTCTTCACGAGAATTACCTTGTATGGATTCTTGGCCCAGGTGAAATTGTTTTACAGTCAAAAGTCGTTCATCCGGACTCGTCGGGACTTCGGCGATTCCGGATTATAGGTCATCAGTTTAAATCTGGGAAGATGGCATGCAGAAATTATAAAATTAAAAATATGAAACCGTAATATATAAAATAATGAGCAATTATGATATAAAGGGTATCAAAATTTACAAAAAAAAAAAAAAAAAAAGCTTAATATTTGTTTTACTTTACTAAACATTTCTTTCAATGTAAGTTGTTTAAGTTGCTTCGTTTTATGTGATAATACTTTCTCTTTAATTCTATAAACAAACATAATTTCTTGTTTAGTTACAAAGTTCCGCTGTTCAAGTCATATAATTGCTGTGTCGAGAATACCGACTAATTTGTCAATCGAAATTTTTTCGTTTTCAATAACCTCTGTGTCACTTTCTTCACTATCAAAAGCGAATTATAATGATGAGGAATTTGATTTAAATCATATCAAAGACGGAGTACATCGAGATGAAATAAAGGAATTATAAGCGAAATAAAATAAAAACATCTACCCTGAAGATAAGGATAGTGCTGACAGATCAACTTCCAATTCATTGCGCGCCACGGCGTTTTCCCCCCCGCCGCAGAGCAGCGTGAAATTGATAAACAGATCTCGGAATAATTAGAGAAACAAAGGCTATGACTTTATCCATTTTTTGCAGGAATTCCACTTTATGTTTGATGGACATCAAAACATACTTCCGCTTTGTAGATCCTTTGTGAGCCCCAGCATCGGAAATTCTATTAGACATAATCGAAAGTTCAAGCTTACTTTTATAAAATTGCTCTACAGTCTGCAAAAAATAATAAGCCGGATCCAATTCGAATATTGAGGAACAACGCAATCTGCAACATTAACTGAAATAGATAATTAGATAATTTTAGCTTATACCGTTCGTTATACATTAAACGCACATGCGTAAACATATTATGTGCATGCGCACACGCATATGCTCAGCAGTAAAGGTCTTACGTGCATGCATAAACGCCTATGCGCATGCGTCGACGCGACGCATGCGCAGAAAGTTTGTAGCATTGAGGTCTGGATTATAGATCATTCCGGATTATGGGTGTCCGAATTAACGACTTTTGACTGTACTCATTCTTTAATTGTAGAATAAGACAGAGATAAATCAGCATACCCTGATCCAAGCATAGTTTTATTCTTTGATATTAAGACCTTCTTCAGTGAAAAATTTAATCACAGAACAATACTCAGTTTTCAACATTTAAGGACAAACTTCACTTCAGTAAACAATATATATATGTGTGTGTGTACTGTTTTAATGCGTAGATGAAGGAATCAGGTACTTTAATTTCTGGCCTCTGAAGACACTTTACTTCAAAGTTGGAAGGATGAATGAATAAATTAAAAACTTAGATATATGGCCATTTCGAAACACAATTTTATTGCAGGATAATTTACATAGATCATCTTTCTGTAGATAAGATATTTTTCAATGATAGATGAATGCAATAATTTTCATGTACATGGGTTTTAAAGTACGACATCATCATAGGCAAACAAGCAGCAGCATGAATGAGAAGCGTCTTGCCAGGAGGAAAGCGTGAGGGAAAAAGGATGTAGCCAAGGCCAACTTATACTCAAGGCCTGCCAGACTGAACGAAATTCCGGTTCCCAGTTTTCAGTGGCTTTCGCAAAATTAATCACTAGGTGGCGCTCGCATTCTGCTACAATTTTGCTATACGCTCACTATTTGTAACGTGGTTCGTTATTAACAAAAAGTGTATTTTATGGCTAGCTGCTGTATATTTAATGGCTATACTTAACGAGCTTGGGTTTTTTGCGTAACTTTATATGCATATAGGTTTAAAATTGTGTATATACATCATTGAACTCAGTTCTGAAATTCCTCATTCTGCTTATTTAATTCTGAAATCTTTGTGCATCTAATGCTGTTATTTTCAAAACTTTGTTTGTAACTTTCTTCTGATTAATCTGGAATGGGAATAATACACATGGATTTATGTCAGCTAGTTACATGTAGGTAATGTATCAAGATGGCACTCATGTAAATTGATGCAGTGCTTAATAGTGATAATATTGTTTTGTGAAATTCAGTAATTTTACTTCATGCATACATTTTTTTGATAATGAACTATATCAGTATCTCACGCTGCTAGCCATAAAATTTTGTACACATGTCATTCTGATTAATGTTGTATGTGTAAAAATGTCTAGCTGCTGTATATTTAAGGGCTATACTTAATAAGCTTGTTTTTTTGCCTAACTTTATATGCATATAGGTTTAAAATTGTGTATATACCTCATTGAACTCAGTTCTGAAATTCCTCATTCTGCTTATTTAATTCTGAAATCTCTTGTGCATCTAATGCTGTTATTTTCAAAACTTTGTGTGGAATTTATTATTACTATTATTATACTATTTCATCTTCTGATTAATCTGGAATGGGAATGCTACACATGGATTTATGTCATGTAGGTAATGTATCAAGATGGCACTCATGTGTATGTGTGCTTAATAGTGATAATATTGTTTTGTGAAATTCAGTAATTTTATTTCATGTATACATTATTCTTGATAATGAACTATATCAGTATCTCACGCTGCCAGCGTGTAAATAAATAAATTTTGTAAATAAAATTTTGTACACATGTCATTCTGATAAATGTTGTATGTGTGTAAAAATGTCTACCTGCTGTATATTTAAGTGATGCATTTAATAAGCTTGTTTTTTTGCCTAACTTTAAATGCATATATATCTAAAATTGTGTATATACCTCATTCTACTTAGCATTGTGGGCATGTGTGATGGATATATTATTTATATTCAGCCATTGCAAGTTTTCAAATTTTATCCTTGATATACAGAACTGAACTTTTCTTAAGTATATATTGTGATTATGAGAGTTATTATTTTTTTGTGTGCTGTTAAAATATATTTTATGATGTCTGTGTCTCTTTTATTTATAACAAACAGATTGATTTGATCAATAGCTTTATCAAAAATTTCATTATTTTCATTTGAAAAAATTGAAGTTTCTCTAACACTGAAAATGTAAATTGCTGCAATGCACTTAATTCAATTACTAGTTTCTTAATGTTAACATCAATGAAATTTAGAATACAAATAAAAGTGAAGAGAAACACACCTGTGTAATATTAAAATTAGTCAAAAAAGCAACTTTGGGTTTGAGTTTCATTCAAAATCTATGCCACAGTAAGACCCCCCTTTTTTTTTTTTGGCCTAATAATTTTAGAATGTCTTTGAATATCTGCAATGCAAATACTGCACAGAGATCAAAATCTGCATTATTTAAACTTTTATTGTTTAAGATTTCCTAAAAACAGTTATTTAATAATTAAAAAAAAATTCTTCAGTATGTAAAATTTAATCTCTTTAAGTAATATTCTTACTTTAATCTCTTTAAGTAATATTTTTACTCCAATGTCGTGGAAACAGATATACAAATTTTAGATCACGGTGTATTAATATGTTAATTACATCTTTGATAGGGGGGATACTAAATTATTTTTTGGCCCAGTACAGCCGATAGAAATATTTTGAAAATTTTTCACTGAAATAGTACATGATCTGAAGCTATCTGTTAACTTCTTACTATATACATAATTAAAAAATAAGGTGTATACTCTGAATTACCTTTAAATTAGAATAATAAGTAGTTGTAATGCGTACAATTCAGAATAGCGCATGTCTAGATGAAAGCAGGAATTAAAATCGAGATCAAATAGCTGGTGTTTATGTGTGAAAAAAAAAAAAAAAAGGTGAGATAGCTTAAAATTCCATGCTTTCCTTCTAATTAAAATATTTTTACTAATAAGAAATCAACAATTTCTGACTACTATGGATTAATCGTTTTTAAACTTTGCATATAACAAGACAGAATTCGTTTTTGGTACTTTTCCGATCTTTGTAAACATCGCAAAGTGTAGCAGAATTGCAGCGCCATCTTGCGATCAGTAGGAATATCACTCAGGCAACCGAAAACACAAAAGAATATTTTCACACTGGCAGGCCTTATAAGTTGGCCTTGACGTAGCAATTCAGAGGAAAAAGGGAGGGTTCAGAAGTTTCAGCTGAGTTAAGAGTTTGGTTACAATTTGCTGGGCAAACGTCTGATAAGTGTTACGAGGATCGCTGATTATTTGATGATCATTTATTAGTAGAGTTTTTTAAGATAAGATTGGAAATTTATTAAAATTAAAGTTTTTAAAGTCCCTAAATTTATAAAATTAAACTGATTATAAAGATGATTATATTGAAGTGAAGTCGATAACTCATATTTTGCAAAATGAATAACATTTAAACCCATTACTTTTTCAAAAGTAAGATCAAATTTAAAGCAATAAAATATTATAAATATATAATCATTTTAAATTTTAATAATACATTCAACTTTAGTTTGAATACCAAAGAGTCTTTAAACACGCTTATCATTCTAACAGAACATCATTTTTGACCTTATCATTCTAACAGAAATGAATATAGTACTGCTACATGAAATTTAAATACCAGTAAAGTAATTTAAATACACAGGTACTGACTAACAAATATGATAAATCTGGAAACATTTCATGTAGATTCCCAAAGCATTGTTCAAACAAAACACAGTCTAAATTTTATTACTTTCTTTAATAAATCTTTATATAGAAATAAAATCAAATAAATGCTTACTTTTTTATATATTGCATCCAGAGGACAGCCTAAATTCAAATCAATGAAATCAAAAGATGCATTTTCAGAAAGCAACTGGGCACAACGGGCCATGATATCTGGATGAGCTCCACACAACTGAAAACATTTAAAATTGTTTTACTAACTGAAAAAATTTTAAATATATGTGATTACAAATAAGTATTCTTTTTTTTACATACAAGAAATACATTATGGTAAATTATCAAAACACAGTGGCGACCAGAAACTACACAAAGTGAATTCTGGTATAGATGTCTCATGCTCTGCAATATCCCAAACTGCTATTTAGAACCTATACCATTCTATACATAGTTGCATAGAGGCTATTACTGCTGCTCTTGCTTATGATACCAGTGCTGCATATTCTGCACAATTATCTGAAGTTTCAAACACTTACTTTATCTCTGCATTATAAGGCTATTTAAAAAAAAAAAAAAAAAAAAAAAAAAAAAAAAAAAAAAAAAAAACTGTCCTTTATGATATAATAATTTTAATTCCTAGGCATTTACACTCATGTTTAGATAAAAAATACTCTCCTTACAACTCTATATACATATATAGTAAAAACATAAAGTAATAAATTTAGAACTAATTTTTCACAAAGACCAAAAATTGTAATTCATAAGTAATAAATTTCAAATAATTCTATAAATGTAATAAAGAATTTTACAATGCTAAAACCAAAACTCTTCAAAGAAGCAATACACCAATAAAAAAAAAAAAGAAAAAAAGAAAGAAAGAAAGAAAAAAATGAACATAATAGAAGAGAAATTCAATCAACATTGAAAATTGAAATCTCTCCTATATATACATGTACATATATGTGATAATTTAATACATAGGAGTGTAAGGATCCTAAGTTTTACTAACGTTTATTTTATTTTAAAACTGTACTATCATTTCTTATTTTCTACTTCCGGCCAGAATTAAATGCTTTAACTTGTTTATGCAAATTGTCTTGCTAACGCCGAAGTTTTCAAGTTGTGGCTTTTTGCCAAGAGTTAGAGAGAGAAGGAGATTTACGAAGCGAGCTGCTTTGCCACTGCAGTCTTACATGTTTTCACTTGGTTGCTGTTTGCCTTTAAGGCCAGAGGTTTAGCCCTCTTGATATTTGAAAACGTATTGTAGTTTCAGCAGCTTGGCGTACTACATACATACCCCTGTAAATAAAGGCCAGACTTAGTGCTAGGCACTTGTATATTAATTCAAAGTAGCTTTAGTTAGAGTTTAGTTAGTAGTTTTATATTCTTACGTTACAGACCACAAGTGGTTGGTCTCTGTATTCCCGAATGTTCCGGAAGTACTCTGTGTAGTAATAGAATAAAATAAAGGGTTTAGTATACCCTTCCTGTTGTGTCGTCCATTCCACACAATCTGGAACAGAACTTTAGTAAGTTCCCTGTTCTTATTCAGGATACAGTATGTTCCCGAAGCAAGTGAAGAGACATACATCTCCTGACAGTGGCGCCTGAAGAAGATTAACCATAGCCGAGTTTCAAGAAGAAGCTGAAGTGCCTGCAGCAGCGACTCAGAATCGAGAAATGCCAGCTGCCGCTCTGGAAAGATTTGGATACATTATCCAGACCATGCACGCATCGATGAAACCAGCAGCAAGCTTTGACGGAAACTCACCGGAAAAATTGGATGACCACTTCATTTTATATCCAGTCCATGAATTCCAGAAAGTCACCTTAGCTACCAGCGCTTTGAGGGGCCAAGCGCTTAGTTGGTTCAAATGTAGCGGAAGAAATCTCTTGGGTCAAGTGGGAAGTCCCACCTACACTTACGAGAATTTCAAGACTGCCTTAGTAAAGGCCTTCCCTGTCGTAAGAAATCGTTGCCAAAATTAGAAGCGGAACTCTTCAGCATATACCAGCAACAAATTAAAAATCTCGCAAGCTTTATTTTAGGAAAAATACACATCTTTAAACTTTTGTATGAAAGCTGGCCAGATCCTGAAATAATCCATGTAATTTCGCCTAGGTTACTTCCCCAAGTACAAGACTTCATTGAATTAAGGAATCCAACAACACTGGAAAAGTTATTTGAGCTTGCAATCCAGTTTGAAAGTAGCAGAATGGCGGACATTGAAAGAAGACACCAGCACGAGCAACGAAGCCAATTTTGGTGCGCCAAGACCACAGCTGAGGCAAGAGCATGGCTACGGAAGCAAGTCAAATCTGTGATAAAAAAAACCTGAGTAACCAAAAACAACTGGCGAACGTCGACAGTTCAATAATAAGCCAGAAAAAAAGTTTGAAGGCCAGCAGAAAAAGAAGGAAGGCCTGGAAAAGAAGAAAGAAGATTTAAACTAAAACGGATTTCTGCTGACGGGAGGGTGCGGAATCCGAAGGCCAAGAAAACCCCTCTTCCTTCAAGTTAAATACAGTTATTGTGAAAAATTTTATTCCTCCAAAGATTGAAGTACCGGTGAACAATATTCCAGAGCCGCTGCACTCCTGGATACAGGCGCACAGTGTTCCTGTGTGGCAGAAGATTTTTTTAGGAAATACTTCCGTAAATATAGAATATATAATTCGGATAATACGACAGTGTTAGTTGCCCAGGGGGAACGATGCAAATGCATAGGTAAAATACCACTCTACATCCGTATTAAGGACGAGCAGGTAAAACTTATGTTTTTTATCGTCAGAAATCTGCAAGCACATATAATTTTAGGGATAGATTTTCTTTCAGAGGCTGAAGAGACATACATTTCCTGACAGTGGCGCCTGAAGAAGATTAACCATAGCCGAGTTTCAAGAAGAAGCTGAAGTGCCTGCAGCAGCGACTCAGAATCGAGAAATGCCAGCTGCCGCTCTGGAAAGATTTGGATACATTATCCAGACCATGCACGCATCGATGAAACCAGCAGCAAGCTTTGACGGAAACTCACAGGTGACCAATTTTTTTGGAAAAATTGGATGACCACTTCATTTTATATCCAGTCCATGAGTTCCAGAAAGTCACCTTAGCTACCAGCGCTTTGAGGGGCCAAGCGCTTAGTTGGTTCAAATGTAGCGGAAGAAATCTCTTGGGTCAAGTGGAAGTCCCAGTACACTTACGAGAATTTCAAGATAGAGTTTTTTGGGAGCGCAAAGCATCGCGTCCCTTAAGCTGACCATGAAACCAGTTCGGAAGAAAAACAGAACCACCCACATTAAATCTCAACCACCTGCCTACGGGAGAGCAAGAAAAAAATTCGACAAGTGGTAAGTGAATTTGCTTCGTTATTTAGTGATATTCCCGGATTTACTCAAGGTTACTAACCATAGTATCGACACCAGGAGATTCACTGCCAGTTCGCCACAAAGCCATATCGTATGATAAGAATAATAAAGAAAAAATATAGAGTGGCACATTCGAGATATGTTACGTAAAAAGATCATAACTCAAGTAGTTATGCTAGCCCGGTTGTGTTATGTAAGAAAAATAACGACTATCCATTGACACATCCAAAAAGGTGGCGTTTTGCAATTGACTATCGTAAATTAAACTCCATGACTAAATATCCGGTATATCCGTTACCTATTATTGAAGAAATTCTAAGGAACATAACTTCTACCAAATATATGACTACGTTAGACTTAACGACTGGTTATTTTCAAATAGGGGTTAAACAGGAAGATGTGCCTAAGACTGCTTTTATAATCAAGTCTGACACTTATGCATTCTTGCGTATGCCGTTTGGCCTTTCAGGGGCACCGGCAACATTTCAGCGATGTATGGACATTGTGCTAAGGCCTGTTCTAGGAAAGTCCACATTTATCTATTTAGATGATATCATTATTACTAGTGATAATCTGGACCAACATGTACAGGATTTAAGACAGGTGTTTTCATTATTAAATGAGGCCGGTCTAAAAGTTAATGTCGAAAAGTGCAAATTTGCAGCCCCTGAATTAAAATACTTAGGTTACAAAATATCTCAGAAAGGAATCGAGACAGACGAATCAAAAATAATCGCTGTGCAAAAGTATCCGCCGCCAAATACGGCGAAGAAGCTCTCTTCTTTTCTAGGACTTTGTTCATATTATAGGTCCTTTATAAAAAATTTTGCAGCTATTGCTGAACCATTGTTAAAATTAAAAAGGAAAAAGGCAAGATTCTCGTGGACGGCCGAAGCCAATAGTGCTTTCGAAAAATTAAAGCAAGCATTAACGCAAGCCCCTGTTTTGAAATTTCCTGAAAACGATGAGAATTTAGAAATTTCAGCGGATGCTTCGGATTATGCGGTAGGAGCGGTACTTTCGCAAAATCAGCAGCCCGTGGCATTTTTTAGTAGAACTTTAAATCAAACACAAAGAAATTATTCCGCGACTGAGAGAGAGGCACTTGCAGTTCTGTTAGCAGTGCAAAAGTTCCGAGTCTATTTTGGAAGGGCGCCAATAACAGTGTATTCTGATCATGCGGCGGTAACTAGATTGTACTCAGGGAAAAAACTTATCCCCAAGGTTAATAAGATGGGCACTCAAGTTACAAGAATATAATCTGGTAATTAAGCACACCCCCGGAAAGGAAAATATCGTAGCAGATGCCCTATCCAGAATATAAATAGATGAAGAAGGTAATACTGTAAAGGTGGCAATGTTCACAGCATGTACGATACATTCCCGAGAAACTCTAATAACCGAACTGGGTAAGGAGCCTGAATTTAAAAAATATTTATGATTATTTAAAGGATCCTGAAAATATTAGCCACCAAGATATTGTGGCGATAAGAAATAGGGTGGCCCATTACGAACTAATAGATGGTCTATTATTTTATACAAAAACTACGAATTCCAACAACGAATTTCGACCTGTTATCTCAGCTAGTCTTAGATTAAATATACTGCAGGAGTTACACGACTCAGCCCTTTAGCTTCTCATGCTGGTATTCGAAAAACCATCCAACGCGTACGCGAAGCAGTTTATTTTCCTGAAGCTGCAAAAGTTAACAAGGGCGTATGTCCAGTCCTGCCCAACATGTCAAGCAGTTAATTATATTAATTTCCGCCCGGCCGGGTTTCTAAATAGCATTAAATCCGAATTTCCAAATGAAATAATTGGCATCGATTTATTGGGCCCTTTCCCAAAAAGTCAGTTAAATAAAA